GAGAAAGCATCCACCATGGGGAATGGTCACATCTCAATTCCTTCTCTTCCACTTCTCCTTTCAGGATTTAGGCATACATGTACTAGTGCTCAGTGTGTTTTTCGGGCCTCAGAGTTGGGGTCTCAGACTGTACTGTTGGCCATGTAGGATCCAGCTGCCTTAACTGCTGTGTCACCAGCTGGCCCAGTAAAAGTATTTTTGACAGGATTTTGCCACTGGGATCTTCTGCCCCAGCCACCTAGCTACGTGGGATTACAGGCGCATTCTACCATGCCTGTCTTGTTTAGGTTGGTCTGGGATCCAAACCCAGGCCTCCCACGTGGCTTGATCATCATACAGGGGCACCCTACTGCTGTGGCACTGTAGCTGGTTCTAAACTTTACTTTTAAAGGAATGTGTGTTTAAAATTAACTTAAAAATTTTGGGGCCAGCCAGGTGGCATGTGGTTAAGGCAGCTGCATCCCATATAGCTGACTGCATGGTTCAAATCCCAGATCTGGTGACTTGAAAAACACATCAAGATAATGAACATGACTGCTCAAAACCCCAAGAGGAGAGTGGAGGAGGGGGGATTGAGGTGTGATCATCTCCTTTGAGGGGGTGGATTTCTCACTTTCCCTCTTACTTTCTCTCTCTCTCTGTCTCTCTCTGAGTGCATGCTCCTATAGCAAACTAAAAACAGAAACCAAGGGACCAGCAGGTGGCGTGGTGATTAAGGTGCTGGATACTCCCACATGGCTGACCAGGGTTCAAGTCCTGAATCTGGTGGCTTGCTTTCTCACTTCCTCTCTCTCTCACTCTCAACCTCTGTCTCTCTCTGGTCAAATTTAAAAAATAAATAAAGGAATGAATAAATAAAAATAAAATAATTTTTTAAAAAAACAGAAACCAAAGAAAATCTTTTCATGTTCTCTGAATAAATAATTCTGTATATAGGAACCTACTCTAATAATGTAAAATCAGGGTATTAATTGCAAAGATGTTTACAGCACCACGTAATAATGAAGAATTAGAAACTCCCTGATAAGCGTTGTGGGGCTTATATTGTGAAACTCATGGAGCTTATTAACGAAACACTAATATGTCTAATATAATGTCTAATAGACATTTGTTGAGGAAAGACATTCTAAATTCCATTAAAATGGTATTTACTTAATAAATTGCTTCCAACTGTATGCTTATCTGAAGTGAAAAAGCCAGATACAACATTATATAATGCATCTTCATTTAAAAATATTTAGAGAAAAGGATAAAGGAGATATGACTTCTGTGTTAACAGTGTTTGCTTTTTAGCTGTTAGGGTGCAGGTGCCTTTTTCTCTTGCTTTATATTTAATGGAAAAACTTTTTTCCATTTATTTTATTTTTATAATTTCTATATTTAATTATTGTGCATCTCTTGCTTTTTAAAACATACTTTTGTATTTTTATATATTCTAGAAAGAACAAACCCTCCTTTGTAACTTGAATGAGAAGGAGAAGAAATTTGCCAGATAGTGGTAGAATTTTTAAATACAAGGAAGGATGTTAAGTGAAATTGACAACAGATAGAAGCAGGATGAACCCTTCTGTCAATGACAGGATGGTCTGAGATAGAGCATCTAACCTTTGCCAAGAGACAGAAAATGCTTCAAAAAGTATGAGCCGGTCTCCTAGCACAGTGGTTTAGTGCTGTGCATAGGCAGGTAGATTACCACGTGGCTGACCATGGTTCAAATCCTGGTCCTGGTGGCTTGAAAACATGCCAGGCATATGCGTGCATGCCTCAAATCCTGACAGGATGAAAAAACAGAGGAAAAAGAATTGTGGAGTGACTATGCCCCATTGGGGGAGCTTCTCTTTCCTCTTTCTCTCTCTCTCTTGAACATGTCATCTAGCAATTTAAAAAACAATAAAACCAAGGGCCAGCAGGTGACATGGTGGTTAAGGTGCTGGACTCCCACATGACGTATCATGGTTCGAGTCCTGGACCTGGTGGCTTGGTTTCCCTTTCTCTCCCTGTCACTCTCTGATGAGCTCACATGCCCTGTTGCACATTAAATAATAATAATAAATAAATAAAATAAATAATTATTTTTTAAAAAGAGGACAAAACTGTGAATTTATGCTAAAGTATAGCTTCTATATTATAATTGAAAACCTGAAATATTTTTAATGGCAGTACTAGTGGAAGGTTTTATTTTTATCATTTTTTGTGGTACTTAAACACAAAGTAAAAGAGAAAAAAAAATCCAAGCTCTCTTGAGAATTATTGAATGAATAGTAGAGGCTTTTTATGACTGGCTACTTGTCTGAATTGTCAGATGACAGGCATTTGCATTTAGGGCAAAGACTTTATAATCCAACAATCCCCTCAAGGAATTGGCTGACCCAGATCATAGAAGCCAGAGAGCTCATTGTAACATCTGGGTTGAGATGGTTGTTTTAACTTTGCATCTATCATGTGGCTAGATGGTTGCACACCGGTAAAACGTGACACTGCAAGCTGAGCCCCATGGAAACGTCCTGAGTTTGTGTTTGGAGACTTCCCTGAGTACACAGGGCATGTGCATGCCCATGATCCAGGACTGACTGAGGCTGGGGGTGGATGACAGCATCAAGACTCTGCTGGGCTTGCCTCCCTCTCTCCCTCTGTGTGTCTGTCTCTCTCACACATGGAAGAAATTAATAAACTTAAAAAAAATGTGTCACCAGTAGTAACTTCTAACAAAGGAAATTATTAATAACAATGAATTCTACTAAGAAAAACACATTTTCAGGGCCAGCAGGTGGTGTGGTGGTTAAAGTGTTAGACTCCCACATGGCCAACCACAGTTCAAATCCTGGACCTGGAGGCTTGCTTTCTCACTTTCCTTCTCTCTCCCTCCCTTTCTCTCTCTGGTCCAATTTAAATAATAATAATAATAATAAATAAAATAAATAATTTTTAAAAAGAACATGTTTTCTTTAGAGAGTGTGGAGTACTTTATTTAAATAAGTTGTTTTTCAAGCCTGCTTTTCAGCGTAATGATATTCTAGAGGGTAGAAAGGATGTTTTGGAGGTCGTGCATCATGATCGGACCAGAAGGCTGTCATTGTGAAACCTGTGATCAGCTCTGCTGTGTCCTTGCAGTCTGGGGTTCTATCTGTAGCTCCCACAAGGGGCAGGGGTTTCTCTTCTCTCCATTTGTAGATGATGCCCCAGGGCAGCATTATGGAAAAGATCACGTTCCTTTGGGGTTATTCACTGTGACTGTGGCTGAAAGATTCTTTCCAGTTACCCACCCAGATGGAATTTGTGACAGTTTAGCAGCCTAGATGCTGAAAGAAATATGAATTGCTGAATCTCTATGTGTCTGTGTGACTTCTGCTTTGATCGTGGTTTTTGATGATGTAATTAATTACACCTGGAGCTGTCTGAGTGGGGTGCTCCAGGGGCAGATACTTGTCCATTATTTTAGTTCTAAATATTTTATCCAATTTGAAAAGAATCTACGGTTTAAAACTTTGGCCCTGAAAAGTCAACATGTGCTCTGCCAACAAAGTAGTACATTGAATAACTGAGTGTGTTTATGATCTTGCAGGAGTTTGACCAAGATAATGACTGCAGTCATTCCGTATTAGTCAGCGAAGAAGGAGATCCCAGTGGCGATGAGCAAAGCTGGACACCCAGGACAGAAGGTATCGGCCTCAGTCCTTCAAGTGTACACACAGTGAACACTGTCTGAGCTTCCCCTAACTGCAGAAGTGCTCAGTGCAGAACTTTGAAGACAGAAAAACACAAAGGAAAGTCGAAACCGCTCATAATCCTATCCTTGGGTCCATATTTGAATCAGTGAGTCTGGGCAACGTGTCCCCGCCAGACCAGTACCCTCTCTGAATCCTCTTTATTCCACCCCTCTCCAGCTCAGCCAGCCATTCTGGGTCCTTCTCCTTTTTGTCTGGTGGCCTCTTTTTCCATTTCTTTCCTCTCAGACTCTTACATCAGCTCCAGGGACTCGTTTCCTTCCAGAACCAAGCACTTCCCATCAGCTGTTGGCCTCAAGGAGAGGGTGGGAGGCATGATAACCTAAGCCTCAGTTTAAGAGAAAAGCCTAGAATTTTCCAGAACAACACCCTTTCAAATATGTTACCCTGCCGCATTCTTAAGTGCAAAGACACTTAACAGGCCACAAGGTATTTGCAGATTCTCACTTCAGAAAATAGTTGCCACAGCTATTACATTTGTCTATCATCTATTCTCCTAGAGCCTTCTTAAATTGTTTATTTGAACTGCTCCAGTTTCTCCCTGGTAATTTTCTGGCCTCCATTTCTAACACGCCAGGGAAGCTGCCCTTCCCTTCAGATGTCGGTTTTCTTTTTCATCCCTCTGCATCTCCCTGACGGCTTTTCTCTTATTGGCATGGTTGTTTGTCTCCTTCAGCCTCTGGTGCAATGCTGCCCTCTTCTGGCCAGCTTCCTGTCTTCTTTAAACTCACAAAAGCTCCTCTCCTCTGGCTGAAGAACAATTTATTATAGTAACAGTTAAAATTATGACACCCCAGGGGTCAGCAGGTGGTGTGGTGGTTAAGGAGCTGGACTCCCACGTGGCTGTGGTTCAAGTCCCAGACCTGGCAGCTTCCTTTCTCACTTTACTTCTCTCTGTCTCTCTCTGGTGAGCACTCATGCCCTATAGCAAATCAAAAGTAATAATACATAATTTCTTGCTTTTGGAGAGACTTTTTGCCATAGGGCATGTGCATTCACCAGAAAGACAGAGAGAGGGAAAGTGAGAAATTACCCCCTGGGGGGTTAGGGGGGATGGCCATGACACAATCCCTTCTCCATTCTCTTCTTGGGATTTTGGGCATGCATGCACTTGTGCCTGGTGTGAAGCCTCTGGTTCCAGCAATGTACCACTATGCCATCTACTGGCCTCAATAAAACAAATAATTCTTTTTAAAAAGTTATGACCTCCAATTGAAATAAGCAAATTCTGGTGTCCTTTTGAACAATCCTGTGGTCTGCCTTGAATTTCCATAGACTTCAAAGCCTACTTTCAGAAACCTAATGGTGTCCCAAGTACCTTCCGAGAGGTTAAGTATTTTATTGCCATTGTTGCAGAGTGCCACCAAATGAACAACACCAAAGCCAGATTAAGTTTAAGGGAGTCTTTATTAGCTGACCAGCGACTACAGTCTGAGGCTCGGAGGGGAGGGGGGCGCCGAGAGTCAGAACTGCAGCCCTGACTGAAGTTTGAGTAGTCTTTTTATAGGGGGTCAGTTACCAGGGGTTTCTGTGCAAGCAGTTACAGAAGCTGAATCAAGCAGGTTAATTATGTCTGAGGGGAGTGGGGTTTCCATGTAAGCAGTTACATTGCTATACCAAAGGGTTTCGGGCTAGTTAGCAAAGACAGTAGCAGGTACAGGATGTCTCCCGGATATAGTTTTCTGTATGGCTAGCACACGCTATTTTCTCATGGGAAGAGCAAGCAGGTTTACAGAAGCAGACAGCCATGTTAGGGTAAGGGAACAAAATGGACAGTTGTTCATGTGCAAGATCTAATATGCGGCCTTCCACACCATTGGAGGGGCTTCTAATTATTGTCAAATGGATTTGTAATGTTTGTGATTTTCACGCACAAGCCATAACTCTTATGCAGCATCTCCAAAAAACTCTTGCAGCTTTAAGCTGTAGGAACTTGGATTATCAATTTGAAAGAAACAGTGTTATTTCTGATAAAAACCTCTCACTGTTGATAGGGACTCAGGTGAGCTGGTTACTTTTTTTCAGGCACACGATCTGAAAAGTGTTTTGAGCATTATTGTCCATTGTCCTCATCTTAAGTGTCAATGTAAATCTCTTTAAATCCCACTTATGTGTTCTTTCTAACATATCCAAATTCTTAAAGTTTGGATGCTTGCATACTTTATGAAGTGTAAATTTACTGTGTGTTCTACTCTGTTTTGTTGCTAATAACATAATTACTTGAGTCTTAGTAATTTATTCAGCTCTCTGTTTGAAGTCCAAGGTTCAGGGGCCATGCCTGAAGAAGGTCTTGCTGTTTAGCAGTATAGCAGAGGTCAAAAGAAGGATGTCTGTGTCCATGAGTCTGTCTAATTCTTCCCCCTTATAAATCTACCAGGGTTCAATGGTGGGGTCCCTGCTCTTATGCCTAGTCACTTCCCAAAGGCCCCACCTTTCAACACCATAATCAGACTAATTTTCATCCTCCTAATCCAGTTACAATGGCTGGCCAAATTTTAACCCGTGATTTGGAAGACACATTCAAACCATAGTGCCATGTGACTATTTATTCTGTTGTAGATGTACATAGTTGTTTAGTTTATATCTGTTCACACATTGTATTATTCTTTTAAAAAGGAAATGGGGGGAACCAGCAGTTAGCGTAATGGCTATGTCACTGGATTCCCACGTAGTCGACCGCGGTTCGTGTCCCAGACCCGGTGGCTTAAAACTCACGCCGGGCGCGTGTGAGTGCATGCCCAAGATCCCGAGAGGAGAATGGAGGAGAAGGGATTACGGCGTGACCATCCCCCCTGGGGGGTGATTTCTCGCTTTCTGTCTCTATGTCTCTCTCTGTCTGTCTGGCGAGCGCACGCGCCCTACAGTGAAAATCTCTCCAAAAAAAAAAAAAAGGAAATGGCACTAAATGTGTGTGTGTGTGTGCTAATATGTTTGCCTTAGGGCACGTGCACTCACTAGGGACAGAGAAAGAGAGATAGAGACAATGAGAAGGAAAGTGAGAAATCACCCCCCTGGGAGGGGATGACCAAGTCACAGTCCTTTATCCTCCATTCTCCTCCTGGGATCTTGGGCAAGCACGCACACATGCCCTAAGTGATTTTCAAGTCACTGGGTTTGGTACTTGAACTATGGTCAGTCATGTGGGAATCCAGTGATGTAACTGCTATGCCATCTGCTGGTCCCAAAATGCCAGTATGTTTGGATTACTCTTTTTGTTTTTGTTTTGTTTTTGCTAAAGGGTGCATGTGCTCACTAGAGAAATAGAAAGAGGGAAAATGAAAAATTACCTGTTGGGGGATGGCCACACCACAATCTTTTCTTCACTCTCCTCCTGGGATTTTGGGCACACACACATGCCTGTTGTGTTTCAAGCTGCAGGTCCGGCACTTGAACTGCAGTCAGTCATGTGGTAGCCCAGCACCTTAATCACCACGCCACCTGCTGTCCCCTGTATTACTCCTATAGACAATCTTTATGGAGAACTTAAGTATTTCTGCAGCATGTTTTTGTCTTATTATGAGTTTTTATAGCAGATAATTTTTTTGTGATTGTTTATTTAATTTTATTCATATTATTATTTCTTTTCATGCTCATCAGAGAGAGCCAGAAAGAGAGCCAGAAAGAGAGAAAGTGGGAAAGCAAGTCACACATCTGGGACTTGAGCCACGGTTCACCATGTGGGAGTCCAGCACCTTAACCACTATGCCACCTGCTGGCCCCTGTAGCTGATAATATTTAAGAAACAATTTATAGACAAAAGAAAAAAAAGCTTCATCCTTTTTTTTTTCTTTTTAAGATAATTTGTTGGCAATAGCATGTTTTTTTCTTTTTTTGGAGAGATTTTTGCTATAGGGCGCGTGCGCTTGCCAGACAGACAGAGAGAGACAGAGAGACAGAAAGTGAGAAATCACCCCCTGGGAGGATGGTCACACCACAATCCCTTCTCCTCCATTCTCCTCTCGGGATCTTGGGCATGCACGCACATGCGCCCGGTGGGAGTTGAAGCCAGCAGGTCTGGGACTTGAACTGCGGTTGACTATGTGGGCGTCCAGCGGCATAGCCATTGCGCTAACTGCTGGTCCTGGCAATAGAATTTTTAAAAAGACACCTAGATACAATACACCAATAAACTTAAAGTTATACAGTGGAATGTAAGTTAAATGAAATGAAACATTTAATAGACATATTTTCTTTTGTTTAATAATTATTTTGAATTTAACTTTATTTATTTATTTTAATTTGACCAGAGAGAGACAGAGTGAGAGAGAGAGAGAGAGAAAGGGAAAGCAAGAAAGCAAGCCACCAGGTCCAGGACTCGAACAGTGGTCGGCCATATGGGAGTCCAGCGCCCTTAACCACCATGCCACCTGCCAGCCCTGACATGTTTTCTTAAATATTATCTTTGATTATTACCAATTTGAAATGTCTGGACTCTGAAAACTTAATTTGATCATATTCACACTCTTCAGAATGAATCAACATTATCATACTAAGATATATAATTGTACAAAGAAACTGATACCTTAGCATTTCTGAGAGTCAACAATTCAAATGAACTGTGTTTACTATTAAATCATAAATTCAAAGAAGTCACAGAAACAAGTGATACTGTAAAAAATGAACACTATCCTACACTCAAATCTGAGTTAAGGGAACCAGCAGTTAGCGTAATGGCTATGTCACTGGATTCCCACGTAGTCGACCGTGGTTCGTGTCCCCGGACCCGGTGGCTTAAAACTCACGCCGGGCGCGTGTGCGTGCGTGCCCAAGATCCCGAGAAGAGAATGGAGGAGAAGGGATTGTGGCGTGACCATCCCCCCTGGGGGGTGATTTCTCGCTTTCTGTCTCTATGTCTCTCTCTGTCTGTCTGGCGAGCGCACGCGCCCTACAGTGAAAATCTCTCAAAAAAAAAAAAAATCTGAGTTAAGTATTTC